TCTCATCCGAAGGACGGCGCCTGTTTACAGTATAGTGTCCCCATCACTATACTGGGGCATTAGGACCCACATGGACTACAGGGTGAGCGCCCCCTGCTGACCCCACTAACACCTATTGTATACATCCTATGATGTAACATTGCATATTTCCTGCTCCGAGTAAGTGAAGTTGATTCTGTTTCTATGATAGTGTGGTACCCCAGATTTTACATTGGCATTATGGCATTATGTTGAAAGTTTGTGTATTGTACACAAGGTTTACATTTTGATTTTTAAAATATCTTCTGTGTTGCTGTTTCTTTCCAAGCAGCTAAAAAAGGAACCTTTTAACTAATTTCAACCTTGTGTACAACTATACAAAACTTGTTTCTTTTCCAGTTATATATATATTTCTAAAGTCAGACATGGATGTGTTTTAGATATACAAATCATCTTGCTGCACTCTTAAGGTGAAAGAAAACGGTAGTTAATTTATTCTAATGAGAAAGAATAATAACCTAGTGGTCTTCAGCACATGTACTGTACATGTTGTGAGGGTCTCCAGTTCCTGTGCTGGAGGAAAACACACTGATACGAACCCCACTGCTCAAGGAGAGTCAGATCAGCACTGACTGCATGAGAGGAACTTCTCCCACACCATGCCTGCAATCACCCAGGAGGTCACAGGGGGCGCTGTGTCGCTGAGAGCCCTGATAGACTGATGCTGCCCTCCTCTCAGCTGCTGCCTGGTGAGTCCCAGACCCCGTCGGCTGGTGACATGGCCCAGGGTCGAACCCGCGACCATAGAATTGTTTGAGAGACCTTCTCGGATGTGCACACGAAAGTTGGCTATTGCGTAACTCTCTTCTGATATTTGGATGTTGTGTAACTCTCACTTGATATTATTATTTCCAAAGTTCTGTTTCTGATAAACCCCAAGGCTGAAATCGTTGAGTGAAAACTTGCGTTAGCTTTCATCTGGTGTCCTTCTGTCTTTTGTGGGCTTCACAAGGGACATTTAATTGACCCTGGCTGAGAACATTTCCAATTCTCTGAAAAGGTTCCTGGTGACAGATTTTAACTGCATTCTTTTGCCAGTGCGTGAGTTTTTTAAAAAGATATTATGTCTTACCTCTGTATATTCTGAGCATGTAGGGTCTGTCAAACTGAGGCACATCAGCACGTTTGTGAAGCCTCCCCAGACACACAAGTCTGATAAAACAGAGCGGATCAAAACAATGTGTGTAATATCCACAGTTTTTTTTTAAATCAGAGAACTCTTGTCACAACGCCAAGGGAGATGGCAATAAACATGTTTGGTCTCCAGCTTGGAAAGAGCCATGGAAGAAGCTTGAAGAATCTCCTGACCACCGGTAGACGGCCCAGCCAGCGTGTTTGGGTGCCGCCCAGATCTCCACCCTGTGCCACCCTGTGCCCACCAGTTGCCCTGTCCTCTCGCCAGCCTGTACTGGCTGATCTGATCTGCACACGTGTGTTTCCGAAAACCCTGGGAAAAACCCTCTTCAGAGTGCGATGTCTCTGTAGCTGCAGGCGTGTGAGAGAAAGCCTGTTGTGTTGGCTGGTAGTTCAGGGCTCAGCCAGGTGAACAGAAGGACATGAGCGCCTCTGGGGTGCCCTGGCATAGTCAGGGGGTCGCAAAATCTGTCTGCCGGTGTGCTGACATCACTTCATCACTTCATAACGCATTCCTCCCGCACTCTCCCAGGAGAGCCGGACGTCTGGCACGGACAGCCTGGTCTCCTTGTCCCTCCTAACTGCACAGATCAAAACCGCATTAGAAAAGTGCAGCTCCAAGCGTTTTGGAGCAGGACAGGGGGGAATATTGATGAGCGGCCGCATTGTTAAATAAATGATGAAATAAAAAACGACGGCGCTGCTTACACACTCAGCCATGTTCGGCCCCGCCAAACATCTCAGCGCCTCAGTATTCAAAGCAAGAGGCGCGTCGCGGCTCAGACCCGACAATCTGATGACTGAGGGAAATTTACCAGGAAAACTCATCCATCTGTATTTCAGCAACCCCTCATAAGACAGGGAGACTGGCTTGGCTGGAGTCCCGAGGGCCGATCATACGGCTTCTGTCGCCGGCGAGAAGGAGCGAAAGAGATGAACGAGCAGAGTGTGGACAGGTCACCCCAGGGGGCTGGGCTGCTGTCTGTCCCCCTGCTCGGAGCACCCCAGCTCCACGCTCTGCTGCGCCTGTGCCACACGTGTGGCCTCCCGCTGTCTGGTTTTATTTCTCTTATTGATTGCCTGTCGGTCCTCCCCTCTGTGTCTGTCCCCCACTTTTGAAGAGCCGGTTCTAGATCTGTATGGCAGGACATGAGCACACCGACTCCCACTGGCAGCAGCTCTTGGGCCCGTTTCAGGCTGAGAGCCTCACAGTACCTATCAGAGGGCAAGAGACAACCCCATATCTCACTCAAGGGTGCCCCCGGGTCACCCAGTTTTCCAGGTTGGAGACTTTGGGGCATCCAGCTCACAGTCAGCTCTTAACTCACTCCCAGACTCAAACCAGGGATCTGAGGACCACAACACTCATACTGTATGTACTGTATGTCGTTCTCTGGCAAGGGGTGCTCGGGACCTCATAAATAATTTAATTAGGGGATAATTGCTTTCACAATGGTGAAATCTGTTTGCCCCCGATGAGCGTCTGTTCAGCCCGCTGCCTGCTTCTTTAAAATGAAAATCGTGTTGCTGTGCGCCCGGCAGCCTCGCCGGCACTTGTAACGAGCGGCGCTGGGATGTCGCGCTGCCGATGGGAGAATGTTAAGAACGCTCCTGTTGGAGGAAGAGGAGGATGAGGTGGGGAACCTGCTGACAGCACACTGGGAATGCCCAGAGCTGCGTGTCACTGAGACCGGAGGCAGTGGGGGGCTTTAGGGGGACCCTGTGCGCAGGCACACACAGTCCAGGGCCCAGATCCGCAGTAACCCCCGCGAGGTTCGTAGCGGGGAGGTGTCAGAGCACAAGACCCAGTTCAAAGCCAGAGAGACCCGCAGTTAACAGAGCCGAGGGGCTGATCCAGGAGCAAAGCCGAGCACAGGAATAAACACGCAGACGTGTTTAAGGAGCCTTTGTTTGCATATTACAGTGCAGCAAAGTTAAGTTCAGGAAAATACAGTGAAGTGCAGTAAAAATGCAGCAAAGTGCAGCAGAACATAATGAAATCCTGATAACGCATGGGCAGACCTGGTAGGCCTGCTACCAGCCGCGCAAAACCAAGTAACTGTGTACAGCAAGCATGGAAAAGAAATGGAGTAATGTCTCAACTGTCACTCACACTGTCTGTGACAAGATTGCTTCTGCAGTCCTGCAGAAATTCACTGTGCTGCAGAAATGCATATCCGCAGTGTTTCAAACTAGTTCACCCAACCTTAACTACCACGTGCTAGGGTGAATTCATGCTCAGTGACCTCAGTAGCAATGTGGTTGACGAACATGTCTAGTTTAATGAGCAATGCATGTTGCACTAAATAAACTGGTGCTGTGGAGGGTGAGGTCCAGTGCTTCCATTTGCCACTGTGAATGAGCTCTGGCTCAGTGAGGTTGACAGCAAATGTCGTAGCTCTTGTGTGTTCAGAATCATAAAAGTGACAAGACGGTTATAGTCCATTGAGCCGAAACATCTGCCCCCTTTATTTTCACTGTGTCGCTCTTTGTGTGATGACTCCAGTGGGACAGTCACTTCTAGTCTTGAATGCAGCCGGAGGAGAAGTTTAGCTGGTTAATATTAAGGACCTTCTTGGTTGTGTGAAATGCCTCAAGGTTAATCATCCCCAAATTTCCTTAAGGGCTTTTTGAGTTGAAGATTTTGCAGGAGGCAGTAAGCAGCGGAGCAACTTAAGTCAATACCTTAATGAAGGGGAAAGGTATCCTGATTTGATTCAAACGTCCCAATACTTAAGGGACTGATTTCACAATCCTCGATTAGCACAGGCCCTGAATGCACTTACCTAAATTGACATCCGATCTCCTGCGATCAGTGCTAATTTGGGTTTGCCAAGTTGTTGTGAGCCACCAGTCCCGGATCCCTTTGCCTTAAAAATTCATCACCTTCCCCTGTTGAAAGCCAGGTGCAGCTGACACAGTATAACTGACCCTTTTCTGGGGTTTCAAGCTGTTGGCTTTTCACAACTGGCTGCCCACTGAAGCTCAGCAGGTGTGAGCCTGGTCAGTACCTGGATGGGAGACCTCCTGGGAAAAACTAAGGCTGCTGCTAGAAGAGGTGTTAGTGGGGCCAGTTGGGGGCGCTCACCCTGTGGTCTGTGTGGGTCCTAATGCTCCAGTATAGTCACTGTACTGTAAAAAGGTGCCATCCTTCGGATGAGACATAAAACCAAGGTCCTGACTCTCTGTGGTCATTAAATATTCCATTTCATTTCTGCAAAATTGGCTCCATCACCCTGTTCTCCTCCCCACTGAGAGCTGGTGTGTGGGAGTGGACTGGTGCACTCTGGCTGCCATTGCATCCCCCTGGTGAGGGCTGCACACTGCTGGTGATGGAGGTGAGTCCCCATTTCCTGTACAGCCCTTTGAGTGGAGTGTCCAGAAAAATGCTTTGTAAGTAAAATGAATTATTATTATTGCCTCTGTGCCTCTGGCTTCCTGGCAGAGGTGGATAACAGGCAGATGATACAGGACAAGCCAGCTGGAGCAGGGGTCAGCGGTCAGTTGAACAACAGTGGAAATATCTTTGCAGCTACTTGGCTTCTCCAGAGGCCTTCTTGCAGTCTCTCCAAAGTGTGCTCGCCCCAGGTGTGTCTCGTCCTCATGGTATTGATCTGTGTGAAGTGGCTGGCAGCCAGCAATGTCTCAATATTCCCAGGCAGCAGCAGTGCTGGGCACAGAGCAGGGCTGTGGACTGCAGATGCCCTGCTGTGTAAAAGGAGAGACTTTGGCGGGTCTACAGCTACAGTCCTGATGGCGCAAAGGCTACCCAGACACCAGGGATGCTGCTCTGGGAGCTGGCAGAGGTACTTACAAACCTGATCGCCTTGCCACCCTGCCACCTTAGAGGGCACCTCGACGTGTTCTTGACAGGATCTTGTCTCACCTTCCCCACAGCAGCCCGACTGTTAATCTCTGTCTTGCAGAGCACAAATGTGAATCAGGGCTGTCCCCGGTGAGACTGAATGTGTGTGTCACACCGAGAGGACACACATGCACTGAATACAGCTTGGCACGTCTTGCCTGAAATTAGGCTGTTGAGTAACCTGTATTTGAAGAACTGGAGCAAACAGCTTGTTTTATTGTCCTTATTAGGCAGCAATGCAAAGTATTTTTTCAAACTTGTTTATTAGTGGAGGTTAATGTGAAAGTTTTCCGGCAGATCAAATGAATGAAATGCAAAGTGCCAATATTTATCTTTCTTTTGCGTTCACTTTGTGAGTATGACTGTTAGAAAAAGCTCTTGCTTTAAGAGTGAGCCTGTATGTTTCTCCCACATCTGCAACTTGATTTGAATTTTAAATACTGTAAGATTGACGTTTGCCAGCACGCAATTAAATTCAAATTATTTTTGCAGAGCGCCGTTCACAACAGGTTGTCAAGGAGTTCTTTCACAGTTTATGTACAGTATAAGTAAAGAATTGCAGATCCTGACAGCAGGGCGTCTGCCCTGTCACCTGCTCTTAATTCTCACTTGTGACACCCTCTTGTGGGCGGAGCGGTGGCTCTGTGGCTCAGGATCCGCGCCTGTGGCTGGAAGGTTGCCGGTTCAAATCCCGCGGCCGGCAGAGGAATCCTACTCTGTTGGGCCCCTGAGCAAGGCCCTTAACCCCAACTGCTCCAGGGGCGCCGTACAATGGCAGACCCTGCGCTCTGACCCCCAGCTTCTCTCCCTGTCTGTGTGTCTGTGTCTCCTTGGAGAAAAGCTGGGGTATGCGAAAAGACGAATTCCTAATGCAAGAAATTGTATAGGGCTAATAAAGAAACATTATTATTATTATTCAAGCACCGAGCGCCAGGTGCCCCTGTGCTGCCCTTGTCAGTGCCTTTGACAAAACCTTAACAAGCCTAAGCAGTAGCCCCAAGCCGTCTCCTTCAGATCCGCACCGAGGAGTGTTGGTTCTTTTGCGTGTCTGTGCACGACAATCTGCTGAGGCCAGACACCCTTTGGTTGCCGTTCTTCTCGTGTTTTATTTTTTGGGGGCCGCGAAGCAGCATCCTTATTGTACTGCGGGGAGCGGGACGGAGCACGCAGCTGTTACAGAGGGCTTGTTAGCAAGCTGAATTCATTCATCAGAATGTCCTCTGGATCGAGACTCACACCTCTCTACAGTAGATCATGTATTACACATTCCGCACTGTGGAGCGCCTTTGGTTTGGGCTGCGGTGATTCCTTTCCTGGGACAGCAGGTCTGTATGGATGAAAGAGAAAAATCTGATGCTGTTTCTCCTTATTGGACCTTTGTGTGGACGGGGGCCTTCGTCGCCATGCTGTGCCCGAGGAGCCCCCGCAGTGGCCACTCGCAGAGCCCTGCCTCCCTGTGCCCACTGACCTCGCCTTCCAGTGAGCTCCATTAACAAACACAGGCAGCCCGCGGGCCAGCTCGGAGACCACCAGGACACCTCTCTTTATTTATTCTCTGTTATCAATAATCATGATGATGACACTAATAATGTGAAGCACGGGGAAGCAGAACCATCGGCAAATAAAACACACCTTTAATAAATTCTTGGCTCCAAGAATTCAGCCCCACATTTGTTTTAGTGTTTTCCTTCCCAGAGGATGAGCTAGCTCGCGGTGTTGTGCTCTGAATTCTAAGCGCGTTGTCAAATACAAATTTAAACCACTCTTTCCATATGTATAGCCTATAGCCTATAAGCCTGTGGGTAATTTTACCAGCTCTCCAGGCGCCTGGTATCTCATTCTGTCTCTGTAACAGGAGTGAATGGTGGCCAATAAAAAAGTCTGAATTGTTATTTTTTTTTCCTACAATACCTGCATTGAAGAATGTCCCAGCACAGGCAGAGGAAGATGAGTTCTGCTCAGTTTATGCTGCCTTGGCAAAGGAGCCTTTGGAATTGATGTGATTGCTTGAGCAGCTCCGCTAACTCAGAAACATACACCAGGCTCTGTTTCCTCCCCCCTCGCACCCCTGACGCTGCAGAGGTGGTCATTTCCAAGCCAGGCCATGCTGATTTTGATGATTTTGATGGTTTAAAAATGTACCTACAGTAATACACAGAACAGTGCTTTCGTCTGAAAGCGTCAGGAATGACAGCGTGTTGTGAGATGGATATCAATTAGCTGTGTTAATCATGGTCTTGAAAAGATGTCAGATTTAGCAAAGTATTGATTGTCTGACATTTTTGATGATTTTAATAGGAGGCTCACATGCAGTAGAGTTAAAATAAAAAGGAGAAAATGGCCATGCCATAGATGGTGCAATGTGTGCAATTTTGTGCTCCAAAAGTGTGCACATTTGGCACATGGGTGAAATTGCCAAAACAGAGCCTGGATCCACAGGAGTCCTGTAGCTTTTCCACTCCTCTTGTTCCCTTATGGAGGAATTCCGTGTTCCAATAGTGGATAGTGATCCAATACTGCATATTTAAAAACATGTCAAACCAGTTTGGACTTTGAATTGGTCATCATCAGCTCATTTTGTGAAAAAGTATAAATGATGGATGTAGCAAACATGTTCTGTGATGATTGTCATGAGCACAATGGCATAGGCTGTCGTCCCAGGCGCAGACATGATTGGAGAACCAGACTAAAGCTGTGCAGGAATTTTCGTTGCTCTGAAGGCTTGCAGTGAGCTGATGTGGTCAGTGCTGGAAAAGCTTTTGAGGGATTAGTACCTAGTTAAATCCCTAATCAGAAGCTATAGAAAAGAGATCAATAGGATATTTTAGATCATAATTAGCAAATGACCATGCTTGGATCGTTTAATCCATCAGCGAAGGATTTGCAAATGATCTGTATCTAAGGATTTTTAATACCGCACGCTTCATTGTTCATTATTTGAATTCAGTAGAACAGTGAAAGGGTGTTTTGTGTAATGTTTTGAAGGAAATCCAGACCCCAGATATTCTGTATTCATCTGCTGAGCTCCTCTTGCCTCGTAACTCACTCCAATTGCAGAAAATTGATTATATTGAATTTTGGTTTGAGGCAGAAGGTGGATATGAGCTTTGGCAGCCTGTGTGTCTGAAAGGGTGTTAGTTATGAATTAATTAATTGTAATAAAAGCCCTTTTTTGTTAAATCATACTTATTATTTCCTAATTATAGCTTTCAGTGATACCAGTTTCAGTGATATTTTAACTCACTCTGCTAAGAAGATGTTTCCAGTGAAGTGACATATTCGAAACAGTGAAATTCAGGCTCCCAGTATCTTCTGGCTGTGGTACCTATGCTATATGCTGTAGACATGCAAGTGGCACTCTCTCTTAACTCAGTGGAGACAGATCAATAAAAACAGAAGCAAGGTTACAAATGAGAGGAGACCATTCAGCTCATCTACTGGAGCTGTTAGGTAGTTAGTTGCTAATTGATCTCCTGCTGCTGTGTCTTGAAAGAAGTCAGGATATCAACGTCAGCATCATGGCTGGTTACGTTGTTTCCCAATTCCACCACCTTTTGTGTAAAGAAGTTCCTTTATACAAATGC